CTGGGGCCCAGCAAGTCTGGGCTGGGGCAGCGTATGAAGGGAGGGGACGGGAATGGGTGAGAGGAGGGTGTCACTTAATGAGACCCCCCTGGGGAAAATAGTGAAGAAAGTATGATAATCTTCATGTCTAGCCCCTCATTCACCCCTCGAGATAAATCTGTCCTGCTTATAACTGGTTGTCAGAAAATGGGATGCCTGGAAGAAAAGCAGAACTATTCATGCCTCGAGCTTGACATAGGTCATAATATGGACCTGCTGGGATTTCTGAAGATCCCTCCCTTAAGCCTCAGGTATCTCTAGGAGCATTGTTGAGATACCAAGGAGGAAAAGAGAGAGGAGGAGAGGAAGACAGGAGAAAGGGAGACTCAAGAGAGAGGAGAGAGGGAGTAGTCCATAGAAGAGAGCCACTCTGGCCCCAGGAATCTGATAGAATGCAGAAAACAGGTGGGATGTCTCCATGGCCTGGCTCACTGGACCCTGCCCCACTCATTCTGCAGAAAGCAGAAGGCTGGTTCACCACGAGCACCATTTCACAGCCTCAGAGGTGGCTGACATTGGCTCTGCTCCAGCTTCTCCCTCTGTACCTACCAGCACAGGCTCCAGGGCCCACCTGCCTGCACTGTCAGGCACCCCAAGGTCAGAGCTTCCGTTTCTGCCTCACTCTCTACCTCTCCATGCTTCTTCTCTCCTGACTTGTTCCTCCTACCCTCTGCACATAATCTCAAGCCAGGGCCCCAGAGCTGCCTTCTCTCCTCAGCACCAGACTCACCTGCTGGAAGCCTCTGGCCAACCCAGCCTAGGTGCTCCTTCTAATGACCTTCTAAAGCCAGCTGGTCTTTCCATCATAAGCCCCCCACCATGGGCACACCCACACTGTCAGCCCTGTGGGACATCTGTGGTTCACTGGCACCTCAGGGTTCACACATCCTGGGCAGGGCCCAGCCTTTTCCCTCTCCTGCATGCCAGGTTCCCGATTGCATGTCCTGCCATGGACCACCCCCTCAGCCCCCTTCTCTCCGTCTCTATCACTCAATGCCATTGGCTTTCCCTTACTTCACACCCAGCCTGGGTTACTGCAATGGTCTCCTAACGGGTCTCCCTGACTCCAGTCTTTGCCCCTCAACCTACCCTCCATGCTGCCAGGAGGTAAATCTGTCCAAGCTGCCCACTCATCTGTTCCTTCAGCGCTCCAGGCAGCATCCCTTAGCTCTGGCACCCAAAGGACCTTGAGAGATGCTCCTGCTTATTTCTCCCACACTCAGTCTCTTGACATGGCCCACCTCAGACCAGTCATGCCGGACTCTCCTCTCGTCAGCACATCCCGTTCACACCTTGGCACCCGGAAGCCTCACCCCCTTTCTTTTCCTGGCTGACACTCTCTCACCTGCCTCCTCCACACCCCTGGCAGAAGCAGGGCCGGGCACCCAACCATGGATGGCAGCCCTCCACCCCCCTGCGTCTTCAACCTGTCAATCCTCCCCATGTCTCCTGCACCATGTCTGCATTGCTTGCTGGTGGAACCATCATCCAACCAACCTCTATCTCCAGTACTAGGCCGGACACAGTGGCCCACGCCTGTCATTCCAGTACCCTGGGAGGCTGTGGCGGGAGGATTGCTTGAGCCCAGGAGTTCGAGACTAGCCTGGACAACATAGCAAGACTTCATCTCTACAAAAATAAAATTTAAAAAAAAAAAAAAATGAGGCATGGCACCTGAAGTCCCAGCTACTCAGGAAGCTGAGACGAAAGATTGCCTGAGCCTAGGAGGTCGAGGCTGCTGTGAGCAGTGATCATGCCACTGCACTCAGCCAGGGAGACAGAGCAAGATCCCGACTCAAAAAAGAAAAAAACAAAACAAAAAAACAGCACACGGCCCTGGATCTGCCACCCCTAGTGGCATTAGGAAGTGCTTATCAAATTGAAGAAAGAATATCCACTCTATACCTCTGTTTTTAAAAAACTTTTTTCATAATTAAAGTATATATTTCAAATGGGGATTAGGTTCTGAGCTCAACATGTGAAGCAAAAATCACATGCAATCAATACTGTCCTGGAAAGTTCTTCTAAAGGTCCACAAAGTTCACAGTAACTGGTTTGGGGTGTGCCGCTCTCTTTCCCCAAGGGTGCAGCACAGACAACTGTTTTTCCTACAGTCTTGGAAAAGATCCCTGTTTCTTGGAGTGAATAAGCAGCAGATAAACCAGTTTGGCTTATGTAGGGACCATGAGTTGTTAAAAATGTGTTGCTGGTTTTTAAATTTTTTACTGTTGATCTCTTTCCCCAAATACGTATGGCCATGTTCACATAAGTGCACACACAATGCACTTATATTTTTAAAATTTAATACAAGACAGAGACTTCTCTTGACCTCAATCTAGGTCTCACCACCCCCCTGGTTTTCCATATCAAGTGGCCTGCTCTAGCTGGGGGACTGCCTGAGACCTTTCGTTCCTGTATCAGTAGAGAAGGGATCTTTCAAGAGCCTGGATGTGTGACAACAGGTCAGGTGGTTCAGGAGAGACTAAGTAACTCCTGAATGATGAGTCGTCCTGGGTCTTTTCTCAAAAGGGCAACTCCGCACTGGCTGGGGACTTGGCCACTTCCCTCCCGGAATAAAAATGAAGCCCCCAGTGACAGGCCTGCATGAATGATGAGGAGATTCCAGTCCTCCAAAAAACCTGAGGGAAAAGTATGCTTGGCAGGGGGCACAGCAAGTGATTAAGCCCTTGCGGTGATGGCGATGGCGCAAAACCAAGAATGCCAGGGGCCTAGGGGTGATGAGAGAGAAAAATGATGAGGAAGGGGTGGGGGCAGGGACGGTAACAAGACCTGGAGGGCCTGGAAGCATCTAGATTTCACCCCACAGCAGCCTTAAGGAGGGTCTAAGCTAGAGGGGAATCTAATCTATTTATATTTTTAAAAGATGCTTCTGCAGTGTGGTAAGCTCACGCCTGTAAGCCCAGCACTTTAGAGGCCAAGGTGGGAAGACTGCTTGAGGCCAGGAGTTCGAGACCAACCTGGGCAACATAGCCAGACCTCGTCTCTACAAAAAATTTAAAAAACTAGCCGGGGGGTGGTGGGTGCCTGTAGTCCCAGTTACTTGGGAGGCTGAGGTGGAAGGATCACCTGAGCCCAGGAGACTGAGGCTGTGGTGAGCTGCCATCATGCTACGAGTGTGCACTCCAACCTAAGCAACAGAGTGAAACCTCAACTCAAAAAAAAAAAAAAAAGATGCCCCTGGTAAATGGTGGTTACTACTTGTTAGTCTGGTACCTGAAAAAGTGAATCTTGTAGTTTTAACTTGCATTTTTCCTCTTGAGTGAGGTAAGACATCTTGTCACGTGTTTTAGTAGCACTGCTGTCATTTCGTGTGCGTGAACTGTCTATAGTCTGTTTGATCTTTGGCTTGTTGACTTGAGAAATCTTTTACATACCTTTTCCAAAAGATAAGCCTGGTGTGATAGCAGTGGCAATTCTTTCCCCAGTTTGTCATGTCGTTTGACTGTTTATGGCGATTCCTTTTCCTTGCAGATTTTATTTTTATAGCATTGAATTTATCCGTTTTAAAAATAAAAGCTAAATACAAACTAGAGATATTTGAGTGGAATGGCCAGTAAGTTGGATTTTGTTTGTGGTTTGCCAAAGGCGGCTTAAATTATTTGTGTTACCATTTTTTAGGGAAGTTTTAAAAATGGAACCAATCAGAGGGTATGTGTCTCAGAGGAATATGCCCTTGGGTAAAGAATGTTTATATCATGCTTTTGCACATTTTACATCTTCCAGATTTAGACTCATCAAACTGCAGGGATAGGGGAAGAAGGCTGGGGGCTCGGATTCCTAGAGAAGAGACAACTCCTATCTTTACCCTCCAAACCCCCAAGGAGGAGGGTGGGGTGCAGAAGAGGAAACCCGACTGAAAGACGCCAGAGAACTTGCCCAAGGTCACGCCGCAGAATTCGAACTCAAGCCTGCGAGCTTTCCACCTCCTGGCGACAGCACTGGGAAAGTGCCCCCTTCTTCCTTCCGGTCGGCAGCCGCCCACGCTCCACCGCCTTGGGGCTTCTCCCGCCAGTCGGAGGTCGGGGGCTCGGCGTCCCCTCCCGGCTCGGAGCCCCTGGCGCGTACAACGCGACCGGGGCGGACACATTTGCCGCGCTCGAGGCTCTGGCCTCCTCCCTCCTTCCCCGAGCCCCGCGCCCAGGACTCCCAGAACCCCTGACCTCTCCCCTCTCCCCCCGCCCCCGTTCCCTGAGCATCGCCAACTTTGTCACCGAGCAGGGCCGGGAACTGGCCCCGAGTCGCTCTCAGGCCAGGCGACAGACCTCACTGCCCCAGCGTCAGGAGTGCACGAGAACGAGCTGCCACTCCACCAGTGTCCACTGCGTGCCAGGCACTTGACTTCGCCGCTCTGGGTGCCCCCGACTTACAGACCCTACCCCCCACCCCCGGAGTGACTGTCCCCATTACACCGGCGAGGGAACTGCTGCAGCCGAAAGTTGGGTGCCACGCTCGGGCTCACAAAGCTAATCATACTAACAGACGATTGAGGGCTTCCTGTGCGCCGGGCACAGGTCTGCATACAGGCGCCATCCCATAGACCTTCCCAGCACCCCTACAAAACGTGGTATCATCATCATTCCCATTTTACGGAGGCGGAAACCGAGGTTCGGCGCCCTGTCCAAGGTCACTCGGCCAGTGCGTGACGCTCTCGGACCCAAACCCAGGCGGAGTGAAAGGGAGGCAGTTTTCTGTGCGGTTTCCACTACGCCGAGAAGCAGCGGGCTTCGAACCCTCCGTACCCGGGGACGGTACGACCCAGGGCTGCGCGCAAACCGATCAGCTCAGACCGCCACAATCTGCAGAGAGGACTTCCCGGGGACCGGACCGGACCGACGCCAGGAGCGCCGGCTGTGACGAGTGCCGGCCCGCACGAAGTCCGCGCGGCCGGATCTCGGCTGCTGCCTCCGCGCGCCCCCCACTAGGAGCTGGAGAGTACTCACCATAAAAGAGAGGGCGAGCGCCCGCCCGGGAAGAGTCCCCAGCGCCGGCGGGTCCGGGACTC